TTCCTCCTCTGCTGCTGCCATTACCAATACTAAGTAACCCGTGTTACTCTCGATCACCGTTCGTTCGAATCGTGCCAGTGTTGTTTCAGGAACATTCCCTGTATCCGTCCAGCTTCTCAGCTCCACACGTTTCACATTATTGTAGATGCACGCCTTCCGGTTGACCAAGTCGATCTCGGGGTTGAACTGCTTCAGAAAATCACGCCCTAAGATGAAATCTAATCCCTTGATGTTCGTGATCGGCAACGTCGGCTTCCACCTTAACGCTCCTATCTGTAGCTGGAGTCTTGACTCGTCGTGGATGGGAAGTTTCGTACCGTCCACCATCGTTGCTGTAAATTGGGTCTCCTGCAATGACTCTCATTACTTTCTCGTGCGGTTGCAGCAACGTGGTCACCTTCGTCTTTCTTACATAGCCTCGGAGGCCAACACTGCTGATATCTTCACCAAAGCCCTTGGGTCTGGTGATCATCAGCATTTCTGTACTGCTCTAGGTCTTGTGCTTACGCTTCCTCACTTGCTTACCTCTTGAGTTTACCCTGTAGTTTGATTTATATATACTGCATGTTTTTTCTTGCTAGGTTGTGATCACTATGCTGTTTGTGCTATTATCACCTTGCATGTGAACTGGCCTTGTGGCCGCATGCTTGTGCTCGAGATCCACCCCGAGCTTGGTTGTGTTTCTTTTCTTGACTGGTCTTGTGACAGTTTGTGACTCTTGCTATCTCTCACTAGCCAACGGGGGTGTGTCAAACGTGTTTTTATGTTAGGCTATGGGGTGATAGCCATGGGGAGATAGCCATAGGGTGTATAAGTTTTTAGGGTTTCATATTTGTACCCACATTCTTCCTAGTTCATTCATGCACGTTCTCTTATGAACCTCCAGGCACCAAAGTGTAGGTATCGCCAGCGTAGCTCAGGAACCGGACGTCTCCAAAATCCCTGATGACCAGCTCCATGGCATGTTGCTGCGCGAATGCGAAAAGGAAACGGCCCAACGGGTCCCCTTGTCTCGACCCCCGTGCCAAAAATAGGGTCTCCACAAAAGGGCACACTTGCAGGTAGAGGTCACTGGGCGACCCATAGAAGACGCCCAATAACAAAATGAGACCCGAGAGAGGTGAGTCTCGCAAACCCTCGAAAATCACGCGCCGATGGAAGGAATTAATGATGTTCGCTTCTATTTGCAGCGCGCACCAGACAGGGTGGGTCACCAGGCACGAGCAAAAAGCGAGGGTGAGTATCTCTACTCCCGCCCTTCTTCCCGTCCCAGATTGGTTACATGATAGGAAGTTTGAGGCCATGGCTGGGCGAAGTGCAATGCAAGCACTCATGCAAGAATGCGTGGCAACACCTCTCCGATAGCAACTGGCCCCACGTTGCTATTGGGCTTGGAGAGCCCGACCAGGTTCGATGCCACAAGCCAGGGTCGAACGCGCTTGGGGACCTGTCTCGCCACCCATTGATTGAACACCTCCAGTAGATGGAGGAGGTAGAAAAGTTCGGCGAGGAAAGTTTCGCACAAATGCTCCGTGACCCAACTCGACGGATCCACCGCTGATGCACGAGCACTTGTGTGGATGGCTCTGGCCAAAGTGTTGGATGTGAGTATCGGCTCCTGAGCGCTGCCGGCGGAGTAATCGTGGACCTACTCCGGCACCTCTCTGACGCTCGCGTAGTGCTTCCCTCGCAACCATCGTCTCAGATGTTTGCGCCAGGTCCCTCGTAGTGAGGCAAGCCAACACCGACTCCATTCCTCCACTTTACTACGTCCGAGGCTGTGCCATGCAGATGGCGTCAGGGTCTTGGTCTGCGGCTATGTAGGTGAGCGGCCGAATTGCCGTGCATGCTCCGGCCAATGCGGACTCGTACATCTGGCACAACCTCCCTTCCCAAAGCACCCCCAGACGCTCCATGACCACAGGTTGCTGGCCCAAGCCTGGCTTTAATGGCACGCATAAGATGAGGCGTGGAAAGGCTAGGAGGATCGGTGTGCCCGCTTCATCCTTTGGCCGTCCCTTTAACCGCTTCAATATAAAGCTGAGTGCATCGAGGATGCTCAGTCGAGCTCTCTGGGGGATTCATCGCACAATTCTCCCTCAAACTGCTTCGCGTTGAAAAAGGCCTCCCAGTCCCAAAAAAAGACCTCGTCCCACACCTCCTCCAGAATCTCCCACGGCATCGGACGCTACTGTGCCTGGTTCGCAACCAATGATGGGGTGGAACCAAGTGCATGCGCGCACCTCTCCGCCTCTGCTGTCCAACATGCCTTCATATGGCTCGCAGCGGCCCCTCGTGTAGCAAATGTATGAAATGATGTGTCGCGTGGAAAGTGCGGATGTGGAGAAGGCGGTTCCACCGTACCTCCTTCCGCCACCCCTGAGCCCTCGGCCGGAGTCATGGGGGTGTCAAAAGATGGGAGCATGTTGGGAGTGTTCTCGTGCTAACTCCCCCAACCCCCATACTGTCCATCTGGGTGTTGCGCCACCAAGCGCATTCCTGCACCCAGGACCCCGTCCCCTGGGTCCTGGTCCGCCTTTGCCGCCGCGACACCTTCTTGCTGGCTCCCTGGTTGCTCTCCACCCTGGGCTACTGCTGCCCCCCTTTGCTTTTTGTTTTTTTGTTTTTTTGTTTTTTTTTTTTTTCGACTGCTCCACACCTAGGGATGCTCCTCCCTGTGAGGATCGAGGATCGAGTTCAGAAAAGAGGAAATGTATTGCATGATTCACATGGGTACAACACGAGGCTATATATATAGTCTCGACACAAGGCCAGTAACCCAGGTGTTACGTGAATGTTTCGAGGGTTGTGAAGCGCCCCAAACAGAACTTTCCCGAATTCGGTAGACGGCAATTCAGTGGCAACCGAAAGGCCTGGAATCCAGAAAACGCAACCTAGTTCGATGCTATAGCCTGGTTTTGCACATGGTTCCTCCACAATCTCGTGCTCGTGGGTTCGCACTGGAGGTACTCCTGCAGGCAGGTCGTCTGCGATGATGTCTTCGTACTAATCCAACCCCTCTTATACTGCTGTAGGTAGTTCCGAGTTTCTCCTCTGCTACTGCCATAACCAGTGCTAAGTAACACATGTTATTCCTGTTCACCATCCATTCGAACCGTGCAAGTGTCGTTTCAAGAACATCTCGTGTATCCGTCCAGCTTCGCAGCTCCACTCGTTTCCCGTTGTTGTAGATGCACGCCTTCCGGTTGACCTAGTCGATCTCGGGGTTGAACAGCTTCAGAAAATCACGCCCCAAGATGAAATTTATCCCTTTGATGTTCATGATCGGCAACATCGGCTTCCATCTCAACGCACCTATGATGCTTCGCCATGGATTGGAAGTTTCGTACTGTCCACCATGGATCGGCAACATTGCCGTGAACTGGCTCTCCTCCAAGGATTCCAATTTTCTCCAACGTCCCGCGGTCGCACACCGAGTGGGACGCACCACTGTACACCAGTGCCTGGAGATGCCGTCCTTTGCATAACACCTCGAGGAGTAGTGGCTTCTGCTGCGCTGCCTAGCCAAAGATGGTCTCGTTAATAGCATCATAGGGTATATAAAAAAAAAAATAACATTACCCCTATTTTCTACACCTGGCTAAGCAGTCTTAGCTTCCAACTTCACTTGGGGGGTAGAAGGTTTTTTTCGAGGCTTGAATAACTTGAGCCTGGAACCTTCCCCTAAGTCTTTGCAGCTGTGTAAGCTTCACCCGTGGGCAACGGGAAGCCTTAACACTGTGCTGCGGGGAGAGAATATTAACTCATTAAAACACACGACCCTTTTCAACGCTCTACAGTACTTTGCCCAACTTCTTAGGTACCTGAATAATTTCTAGAGGCATTTTTCTTGGCCTCTAATTCTCCCCTAATGCTTTCAAAGGCTTGAAAACTACGCGAATCCACAAGAAGTAATATTCCTAGCTAAATTATCTTCATAGGATAATTTTAACGGATTCTTACTTTCGTGGGTGTCCGGCTGGAGTTTCCCGGTCGGTGCAGAGTCTTCTTTCGTGGAGCCTCTCTTTTTTCTCGGCGAATTTCCCTGGTGCCGGTCGGTCGTGATGTTTTAAATTCGCGCCATCATTTTCTCCTATTTTCGCCCGCTCTGAAGTCGCCACATCCCCGCCTTTTCGCCTTTTCTGGATATTTTCGCGATCGCCAGCTTGATCCACAACTACTGGCGATTCACGCTTCGGGGGTGCCGCATTGTTGGTGCCCAGCAACTCCGCACGTGCTTTTTTCATTTTTGTAACACGACAGAATCTGGTGTCCGGTGCGTCGCAAAATTCACACTTCTTAGATCTTGCTGGCTGCGGCTTCGCTTCGATTCGGTCGATGTCCATTGGGTCGGCGAACGTGGGGGTTACCGATCGCTTCGTGCCGAAAGATCTGTTCGGCACGTGGCGTCGTGTTCCAGGTTGACCTTGCGTCAGCGCATTGTATTGATCTACTGCACACACGCAATAGCTACTGTAGTTCGCGGCGATCACTTGTCGTCGTATTCCCATTTTCAGTCCCTCAATGTACGCCTGCAATTTTTTCCCGTTGGTCAGGTCTGGAATGGGGTTGAATAACTGCTACATCTGCTGCATGTACTGCGCTACACTCCAGTACTATTTGTGGTGATGAATCTGCTGCCGCGCCATGCAGCTTGGATTAATAGGTTCAAAACGCGCGATAACATTTGCCCGAAACTACATCCACGTTTCCTCGCCTCGGACCGCGTCATCGTAGTAGTGCCGGGCCTCGCAACAGTTCTGCTGCGAGCCACATTCTTGCTGCGTCATTTCTCGGGGTCGTACAGCCAATGACGTCGGAATAGAATCGAACGTCCAGGAGCCAATGGGTGGTGCTTGGATCGAATGCTTCCGGGAGCTTCGGACAAGCTCCGAGGGGTGGTCGGGAGACTGGAGGAGAAGGTGGTTGTGCGGAACCGGATTGCGGAGCTGCGTCGCGAGGTGGTGAGGCTACAGCAGCGCGCGGCGCAAGGCGCGATAATGGGGGAAAGGATGCGACATGCGGAGCGACAGCAGGCGGAGCTGGAGGCGAGGCTGGAGGGCGCGCGGGGTGAGAAGAGGCGCGCGCGGGAGAGGGGCAAGGAGGTGGAGAGGCGCATGGGGGCGGAGGTGGCGGCAGTGCGCGCGCAGGTGGAGCGCATGGAGCGGGACCTGGCGGGGCTGGCGCACGTGCAGCGGGAGCTGGGGCAGGTGGCGGAGGAGAACGCGCAGATGGAGGGGGAGGTGGCGCGGCTGAAGGAGGAGCTGGCGCAGCGGGAAACGGAGGCGCAGTCCGCGGCGTGGGCGCAGGAGGGCGAGGTGCAGCTGATGCGCGCGCAACTGCTCATGGACGTGGGCGAGTGGCAGGAGCGCGCGTGGGGGGAGGCGGAGGCGCGGGAGAGCGCGGAGGAGGAGAGGGGGAAACGGCAGGAGGCAGTGGCGGCGCTGCGGGAGGTGGCGGAGAGGCAGGAGAAGGTGCTGCAGTGCGCGCTGAGGCAGCTGCAGGCGAAGCTGGGCGAGGCCGTGGAGTCGCACGACGACGTTGTGAAGGAGGCGGTGCGCGAGAAGGAGCGCGCCATCGCGTCGCTCCGCGCCACGCTGCAGATGCTAGAGGGGCACGAGGAGGAGCGCGCGGGGGAGGTGACACAGGCGGAGGAGCAGGCGGAGGAGCTGCGGGAGCAGCTGGCCACGGCGGAGTCGGCAGCGGAGGAGTGGGGGCGGGAGTCGGCGCGGGTGCGTGAGGCGCACTCGAGGGAGGCAGAAGCAGCAGGGCAGGCGTCGGAGGAGGAGGCGCGGATGGTGGTGGAGGGCATGCACGCGATGGAGCGCGCGCGCATGGACGTGGCGGCGCAGGTGGCGGCGCTGAAGGGTGTGGTGGAGGAGCGGGAGAGGAGCCTCGCAGAGGAGAGGCGGCAGAGGGAGGAGCTGGGGGAGTAGCAGGACGCACTGTAGCAGGAGGTGGAGCACGCACAGGCGCGGCTGAGCGGCACGGACAACGCGCAGAAAGAGGCAGAAGCGCGCGGGAGGGAGCAACTGGGGGAGGTGGAAGCTGAGGTGGCAGCGGTGGTGGCGCGGGAGGGGGAGCTAGGGTGGGTGGAGGCCGAGTTGGAGAGGTTGAGAAATGAAGCATCGAGGTTTGCAGCGGTGATGGAGGATTCAGATCGGTTAGAGGCGTGGGCCGGCGAGACAGGGCGAATGAACGAGGAGCTCTGGCAGGCGATTGTGGAGAGCAGGGAGAGGGCGGCGGGAGTGGAGGCGGAGCGGGGGGCGGAGTGGGCAAACCGGCAGGCGGAGAGGGAGGAGTGGGCGCGGGTGGAGGCGGAGCGGGAGGAGCTGGCGGGGGCAATCGAATCCCTGAAGGCGCAGGTGGTGCGCGCAGACGAGAGCATGCAGGCACAGCAGCAGTGGTACGACGCGCAAGCACGTGCGTTCCAGGAAGGACTAGCGGCCGCGGCGGCCAGCGCGGAGGCGTACCAGCAGCAGGAGGAGGCGGGGCGCGCGGAGAAGGAGCGCATTGAGCGCAAGGCGCGGTGGGGCAAGGTGGTGCCGGCGGGCGAGCTGCCTTGGGAGTACTGGAGCACGCTGCTGCTGACCGTGGACCAGCTGCTGCTGCAGGGCCTGCTGCTGCCTCATGAGACGCGCCAGCTGAGGGCCATGGTGTGGCGCCGCAACGTGCACGTGCAGAAGGCGTGGGAGTCCGTTGGGGGCGCCGAGGTGGTGCGCGCCGCGCTGGAGAGTGACGGGTCGCAGGGGCTACGGGCGGGAGAGAGAGTGGGTGCGGTGGGAATGGAGGATACATTGGTGGCAGCAGCGCTGAGAGGAGTGTTGGAGGATGATCCCAAGGACAGGTGAGCCCATGCTCTCATGCGCTGCGCTTGTACGGCCACTCTATGCTAACAGCCATCACTATGCATTCCTGCCTCCTTGGCGATTCTTGTGGCGGTCGAGTGCGCAGAGCAGTGCTAGTGGCAGGGCTATATGGACTTGGCATGGTCTTGCTCTCACACCGTGCTGCCCTTGCTCTCTGACCCCACCGCCCTGTGTCAGTTGCCACATACAGTGGCAACAGCTGCCAGGCCATAGCATAATATGCAAGCACCTCGCAGCTCTCTGCACCACTCTCACCCGTCCCTCATGCCGACTTGCACATTGCTCCTCTCCTCTGTCCCCCTACCCTCTGGCCCGTGTGACTGTGTTCCGTGGTTCATCCCCCAGGCGCCCCCTGCACGTGGTGCACATTCTGATGTCTCCTTCTCCTCCAGTCTCCCGCACCACCCCTCGACCAGCAACGTTGCTCATTCTGATGAAGTCTTGCATGCCAATGTTGTAATCATTCGTTGTTGTCACCTTTCTTAGTGAAACTCTTGCCGAATTGCCCCGTAAACTAGCAAGCCGTGTGTGCGCTAGGAAAACGACTAAGGAACGCAGAGATCACACAAGCACCCGAGCTTAGCCCGCAGTCTAGCTCCCGTTGATAGAGTTATCTCCGCAAGTGTGTCTTCTACGGTTCCTCCTTCACAAAGGCCAGTGCGCGTCGGTTGGGAGTGGCAAAGACCAGGTCATCAACGTTGACCAGAACAAAGAACAGGGTCGAGCCACGGTGGATGAACAGCGACGGGTCGACGGACGACGAAAAGAAGTCAAGCGCTGCAAGAGTCGTATGTAGAGTGTCGTGCCACTTGCGGGGAGCCTGGCGCAGGCCGTACACCGGTCGACGTAGCTGCCACTAGGTCTCAGGAGGGAAAGTGCCTATGAAGCTAGGCGGACAAAGGCTTCCCTAAAGGAACGCAGTGGAGAAGTCCAAGGATTGCAACTCGTCGTCGTGCTGTGCTGCAACATGCAGCAATACCCAAAGAGTGGTCATCTTCGGGGTGGGAGCGAAGGTCTAAAAGAAGTCTACCCCTTTTCGCTGACTGAAGCCTCTCACCACATAGCGCACCTTGAATACCGGTGGTGCTCCAGGCGGCTGCTTCACCTTGTAGAGCCACATGCCACTGACAACGTTTGCCCCAAGAGGTGGGACAGCGTCGACGTATGCGCCTATGGACCAATAAAATGCCATCTCTGCTATGAGGATCTGGTTCAGGAAAGATAAATCTATTGAATGATCCACCTGGGTACAACACGAGGCTATATATAGGCTCGACACAAGGCAGATAACCCAGGTGTTTTGCGAATGTTCTAATGGTCGCAAAGCGTCCCGAACAGAACCTTCCCGAACTTGGTAGAAAGCAATTCGGTGGGAACCGAAAAGGCTTGAGTTCGGTACACGTAACCTGGTTCGGTGCTATAACTGTAATAACATATAGGAATGCACCTAACCTTGGAAATCAAGCATGTCTATGCACGATAAATAAAACATAAGGTAGTAATAGCATAATAAAGTCGAGCAGAACCGTCGTACTCTCGCATGTCCCCCCCTCAAAGCTGGGTGGCGTGAGATAAACCCTGCTTGACAAGATAATCCTTGAGAGCACGGCGTACGTTGCCCATATCAACTTCTTCAACCCAACTGTCCTCCGATGGGTTGTATCCCTTCCAGCGTATCAGGAACTCGAGCCTGTTGCCGCGTCTGCGTTGATGAGCGACCACTCAATCCACCACGTACTCTGGTTTATCCTGTGCGAGAACAGGTGGTGGTGGCAGTAGCTGGCGTCCCTGGAACTGTTGGTTAGGGTCCTTGTAGAGCTTTAGTAGCTGAACATGGAAAGCGTTGTGAAGCTTTCACGTAGTACATAAGTGCAAACGGAATGCTATTGGTGTCACCTGTGCCTCAACGCAAAAGGGACCACAGAAGCGAGGCTGTAGCTTGGACGGAAGGTGAGATAAGTCCAAGTTGCGTGTGTCGAGAAGCACCTGATCTCTGACTGCTACTGAGTGATCTCGTCACTGGCGATCGGCATACTGCTTCTAGGAATTCTGCGTCGTGGAAAGACGTTGTTGAGTCTTCTCCCATAGCTGCTGCATGGTGGTGACGAAGTCTTGTGCGTTTTGGACGTGTGCCGGTGTGGTTGGCTGCTATTGTGTAACTGGTTTCCGTCCGTAGCACTGGAAGAAAGGAGATTTCCCTGTGGCCGCATGCGAAGTGAACTTAAGCGTCGGTAACTGTAGATACTAGTGGCTAATGTCGTCTTTGCAAGAGGTGCGCAGTAATTGTTCAACCACTTGATTAAGTCGCCCTGTCTGTCCGTCAGTCTTGGGGTGGTACGCTGAAGACATTGCAAGCTTTGTCCCCAACAAACCCATGAGTTCCCTCCAGAACTTACTAGTGAATTTTGGGTCTTTGTCCGAGATAAGTGTAGTGGGGATGTCGCGGATGGTGATGATGCGGTCGAAGAAGATGCGATTAGTTGCTTCAGCTGTAGCCATGGCGTCGCACGTCTGCTGCCCATCCGGGGCCAGTAGTAATACTTTGCTATTCCCTCTAACGTCTTGTTGCTCCCAAAATGTCCCGCGTATGCTACGTCGTGAAACTCCTCTAGTAAGATCCGTCGAAGCGGGGCATAGTTCGGTACCCAAATATTTATTGTTCCCTTTCTTATAGCTAAGTCCTTCTCCCACTACAATAGCTTCTGAATCTGTACTGTAGCGATCTCTACGTCCACAGAGTACCCATGTTGGAATAGACCCTTCAGTAGAGGGTTCATCCCATTGAGCTAGATGCCTGCTACATGACCGGGGCGGCTCAACTCGTCTGCCTTGTTGTGTGGCCCGGGTTTGTAGACGATGTCATAGTGGAAGTGGGTCTCCAAGAAGTCCACCCACCGCACCTGTCGTCTTGAGAGTGTCGGCTGCGACTTCAGGTATTTGAGGCTGCAATGGTCAGTATAAACTATAGTCTTGGCTCCCTCTAGATAACACCTCCACGCCTTGAAGGCTGTGACTATCGCTAAGGCTTCCTTGTCATGGATTGGGTAATTCACTTCTGCTCCGCGATCCTGCATCAGTACTGCTCCGACTGCTTGGTCACTAACGCCTGCTTCCACCACGTAGTCCTTGTCTGTATCCGGTAGGATGAGTACTGGCGCTGTAGTCACTGCTGTCTGTAAGTGCTCCATGGCTTGCTGTTGAGGAGTATCCCATTTGTAGGGCGTATCCTTTTTCACTAGGTTGGTCAGTGATGCTACTATCTTAGTATAGTGCGGCACAAACCTGTTTTAGTAGTTGGCGAAGCCTAGGAACTGCTGCAACTCCTTCACGTTCTTCGGAACTTTCCACTTCTTGACGGCTTGGATCTTTCGCGGGTCCACGTGTACGCCCTCGGCACTCACCATGTGTCCGAGAAACTGGACCTTCTTTAGGGCGAAGTCGCTCTTCGACACTTCTTGTAGAACTTTTTCTCCCGCAGGATCTCAAAGACCGCAGATGCTCCACGTGCTCTTTCATGCTCTTGGAGTAGATGAGAATGTCGTTCAATTACACCACTACGCACTCGTCCAGCAGGGGTCGTAGGATGTGATTCATCTCCACCTGGAACGTCGCAGGTGCGTTGCAGAGTCCGAACGGCGTCACTAAGTACTCGTAGGAGCCGTGTCTGGTACGGAACGCCATCTTGTGGATCGAGTTGTCTGCCATCTTGATCTGCCAGTAACCCGGCCATAGGTCCAGCTTCGAATATACTGTTGCACCACGTAGTTGATCTAGAAGATCATCTATGCGCGATATGGGGTAATTGTTTTTTACTGTCTGTTTGTTCAGTGCCTGGTAGTCGATGCATATCCGTAAACTACCATCTGGCTTTGGAGTAAAGAGAAATGGTGCGCCGTAAGGAGAGGTGGATGGGCAGATCAGTTATCTGTCCAGTAGATACTCTATCTGCTTCTTCATGTCTGTCAGTTCGGTCAGACTAAGGCGGTATGGTGCACGTGAGACGGGTTTCACACCTGGTTCCTCCACGATCTCGTGCTCGTGGGTTCGTACTGGAGGTACTCCTGCACGCAGGTCATCCGGCATGATGTCTTTGTACTGCTCCAACACCTCCTGTACTGCTGCAGGTAGCTCCGTGTTCGACTTTTCCTCCTCTGGTGCTGCCATAACCAATACTAAGTAACCCGTGTTACTCTCGTTCACCGTCCGTTCGAATCGTGCCAGTGTTGTTTCAGGAACATTCCCTGTATCCGTCCAGCTTCTCAGCTCCACACATTTTGCATTATTGTAGATGCACGCCTTCCGGATGACCCAGTCGATCTCGGGGTTGAACCGCTTCAGAAAATCACGCCCCAAGATGAAATCTAATCCCTTGATGTTCGTGATCGGCAACGTCGGCTTCCACCTTAACGCTCCTATCTGTAGCTGGAGTCTTGACTCGTCGTGGATGGGAAGTTTCGTACCGTCCACCATCGTTGCTGTAAATTGGGTCTCCTGCAATGACTCTCATTACTTTCTCGTGCGGTTGCAGCAACGTGGTCACCTTCGTCTTTCTTACATAGCCTCGGAGGCCAACACTGCTGATATCTTCACCAAAGCCCTTGGGTCTTGTGATCATCAGCATTTCTGTACTGCTCTAGGTCTTGTGCTTAAGCTTCGTACCGTCCACCATCGTTGCTGTAAATTGGGTCTCCTCCGATGACTCTCCATTTTTCTCCAATGTCTCACGGTCGCACACCGAGTGGGACGCACCACTATCTACCAGGGCCTGGAGGCATCGCTCGTTGCAGATCACCTCGAGTACTAGAGGTTGTTGCCGCTCCGAGTAGCTGTAGATGATGCTGCTTATAGGATCATAGGGTAGATCAAATGTATCATCCTTTGGTCCTGCGCTCGAAGCTGCTGTCTCAAGATCAGGTATCACCTGAGTAGGGTTAGAAGGATTTATCCGAGGCTGGTACAGCTTGTCCTGAGCCTGGAACCTTCATCTAAGCCTTTGCAGCTGTGTTGGCTTCACCTTTGGGGAATGGTGTGGAGTCTTAACGCCATACTGCTGGGAGAGAATATTAGCTCCTCAGAACGCTCGACCCTTATTAGCGCTCCAGAGTAGGGTCCCCATATCACCCGGTACCGGTTTATTTTCTGACTATCCCTTAATAAA